AGCCCCCCCCCCTTCCTAGAGCCTTGGTTTACTCATCTGTGCTGTAAGGGTCCAACAGGAAAGCCCAGGTCCCCTCCAAGCCTAAAGTTAAGGATGCTCTCTAGCCAGTCTTTCTTTCCCTGCACATACTATCAATCTGCTCATTCCTCCTCCCTTCTTGCAGATGGAAGACCCCTATTTTCTTTCTAGTGGGTCTTGGCTGTTTGTCTGATCTGAGCCATAGTTTCCTCACTAGACATTGAGGGATTTGATTAGGGGTGTCCAAAGGGCTTGCCCGGTTCTGATTGCTGGTCTCCCTGGGATTGTGTGGCATAAAGTCCTACATACTGGGCAGCTGGTAGTGCCAGACTTTCTGAGCTGGGGCCCCTCCCCTTTTCCCTCCTGGAACTTATTCCTCAGGTGCTCCAGCTGATCTTATCTATGGATTCACCAGAATGTGTGAACATGGCTTAGACCAAGGCACACAGGCAGAACGTGTTGTGATACCCTTTCTACATGTCAGTTTGAGGGACCAGCAGTCTCTGTTACTCAAACACTGATCTACGCATTGCTGTGAAGGTATTTCCTAGATGTGATGAAAACCCATAATCAGTTGACTTTAAGTAAGATAGATTATTCTAGATAATCTCTTATCTACAGATGAAAGGTTTTGGAAGCAGAGGCTCCCCTGGGGGAGAAGAAATTCTACCTGTGGTCAGCAGCTTCAACCCTCATCACAGAGCCCCAGCCTGCTCTTCCTGGCAACTGCCCTGTGGATTCTGGACTTTTCCTGCCAGCCCCCACAATTGTGTAAGCCAGTTCCTGGCAATTGCCTCTTAAGGCCTACCTCCCACCTGGTTCTGTGTCTCTGGTGAGACACTGACGGTTCAATATAGTAGGTAAGAAGCACTCCAGTCTGATCTGTATCCTGATCTGTATCATGTTATTTCTGGAAAATAGGAAACATGGCTCCCTGGTTCTCCCATCCTCTTAACCTTGACAATGAGTGTTGAACACTTCCTAACTGGGCAGAACGAATATGCTCCTATTCTCAGTCACAATCTAGACTAGGGAAAACGATGCTCCTGAACTGCTTTGTCTTAGGTGGTTTATTACTACTTCATAAACTCTAGATTTGGGGATTCTTTGTAATTTAGTTTAACCTATGCTACTGTCAATGATAGAATCTCCTAAATACACCAGACAGAAAGTGAATATTCCACTGTGTGTGTGTGTGTGTGTGTGTGTGTGTGTCCAGGGAGTACAAGGACCTCGTGTCTGTGAGCTACAACAAGTTTTGCAAATTAAGAGAATCTTGGGCAAGTGAAAGCAAAGAATTTAGTCTTCTTGTTTTCAAGATCTTGGCCTTTTTTTTTTTTAAGAGAGAGAGAGAGAGAGAATTTTAATGTTTTTATTTTTCAGTTTTCGGCGGACACAACATCTTTGTTTGTATGTGGTGCTGAGGATCGAACCCGGGCCGCACGCATGCCAGGTGAGCGCGCTACCGTTTGAGCCACATCCCCAGGCCCAAGATCTTGGCCTTTAAGCATTTCTCTCTTCATCCCCAAATATGCACTTGACAACACCTGGAATATAGTTTTGTTGTTGTTGTTGTTGTTGTTTTTGGGGTGTGTGTGTGTGTGTGTGAGAGCTTCTAGGAATTGAACATGCTAAGCAAGTGCCATACCACTGAGCTATATCCCCAGACCCATTTGGACTATAATTTTAAAAAATAATAAATACTGCAGATTACATTAAGTTTTGTCCTTCTGGGTGAGCAGGGGATGGGCAAGATGTTAACATTTTTGTTTATTTCATAAAATGGAGAATATTGTCTTCTGAAGTCTAAGAGAAGCATGAATGCAGCTGGGGGGACAAGGAGTAGGCTGGTATGGGGGTGGAGGGGACCCATAACCCAAAACAATGAATATTAATGAAAACTACATGGAAGACATCAACGTTTACCTGAGTCTTCTGCTTCTGGGCAATTCCAGGCTATGAGGTTCAGGGATTGCTGGACCACAGTGAGCACAAGATTGTGAAAAAGGCCCTGGTAAGGCTGTGATGGAGGGCTGGGCAGCCAGTGTCAGGAACCCCCTCTTGCTGTGGCCTACAAAGGGCGGCTCTTCCTCCCATTTGCCACACTCATTCGCTTCTGGCCTCTGACCTGTGCTGACAGTAAGGAGTGTCTTATTGCCCATTCTAGCATCCAGCCCCATAGCTGGGGCAGCTGCCAAGGGCCTGTCTAGGCCTGGTAGATGGGCATCTGCTCAGGCCACCAAGTGGTAAGGAGAGCATGGCCTCTCTGCCTGCATCTGGTTGTGCACTTCAGTCCTGATTCATCTGTCTCTTCCACAGCCTGAAAACAGGCAAGGAGAGCTCAGATCCACAGGGCAAAGCACTGGCCCTTGGACGTCCTCGGGTTCCTGCCCTTAAGATTGGCAGAGAGCTCCTGCTCTGGAGACATTCTGGGTTTTTCGGTAACCACAACTGGTGTGACTGGGAAGTTGATAGTTCCACAAGGTAGCTTAACTGGCATTTGGAGGTGCTGGGAAATGAGGCTGGAGAGCAGAGTAAAGGTTAGGGGCACACACCATGTAAATTAGCTACTGGGGTGACATTTTAGAAAAATGTTAATGTGCTTTTCTCTTTTGCCTTCCTGAGTATGCAACATATTCTGAGCAGTTTGAATGCTTTAGGCTTTCATTTTCAGGGAGGAGATTAAGATTGTTCTAGAAGGACTACAAGAAGAAAGCATTAAAAAATTTTAATGCTTTAAAAAAATTTTTTTTTAGTTGTAGGTGGTCACAATATTTTTATTTATTTATTTGTATGTGGTACTGAGAACAGAATCCAGTGCCTCATACATGCGATGCAAGCACTCTATCACTGAGCCACAACCCCAGCCCCTTAATATTCACCTTTTGATATTCAAATTAAGTATTATACCTTTGTTAATGTATAATTGAAATACAGTAAACCGCATATATTTAAAGTGCACAATTTGATGAGTTTTGACCTAGGTAGACGTCATTGAAATGGGAATCAGAGTCAAGACAGTGAATACATCCATCACTCCCAAAAGTTTTCTTGCTCCCCAACTTAGTTCCCAGGCAACCCCTGATTTGCTTTCAGTCACTAGAGATTGATTTGCATTTTTCAGAATTTTATGTAAGTGAAATCTTACAATATTTACACGTTTCACCTGAATTCTTTTGCTGTATAATTACTTTGAGATTCATCTTTGTTTTTGCATGAATTAATAGGTAATTTTATTGCTGCATAGCACAGTCTGTTTATTTATCAGTTAATGGATGTTTGGTTGTTTCCAGTTTTTGACTATTATAAACAAACCCACTGTGAACATTTGTGTAAAAGACTTTGTGTGGACATATGCTTTCATTTCTCTTGGGAAAATGCTTAAGAATGAAATGGATGAGTCATATCATAGGTATGTTTTTGTTTTTTTAAGAAACTGCCAAACTGTTTTGCAAAGTAGTTGGACCATTTTATAATCCCACCAGCTGGCTATGTGAGCTCTAATTCCTCCACATCCTCACCCACACTCAATATGGCCATTCTCTTTTTTTTTTTTAATTCCTTATTGTTTATTCTCCTCTTACAAAAAGACACTTGGAACAAATAAATATAAAATGGTATATATCATATTTATCAATGGCCAAATACACATTTTCTTGTTATCCCCCACAGGAATAAACTAATGAAATTTTTCAGAAGCACACTTACCCTTCTTTAAGGAAAAAAAGTCAATTCTTTTAATTCTCCATAATTTTTAACAATGGATTCTCAAAATAAGTAATCTAAATCTACTCAGGGACAAGACATCTATATCAAAAAGTTAAAAAAAATACACATGTGTACACACTCACACAATGAGTGAAATGATGTTGCCCAGAAACTATAACTAATGAATATTATTAAAAGTTTTTCATTTCTTATGAGTCTTTTGTGTTTAGATCTGCACAGTGTATAAAACAAAGCTGGGTGCAATGTACGTATATATGTACATACTTTCCCATCCTAAAAGAAAGCATTAAATACAGGTATATTTAGTATACACAGAACACAAAATTCTGATTTCCTATACCTTGGAGGTAATGCAGAAGGCAGACACATACCAAAACTACATGTGACCAATTTACCCTGACTGTTTGGCTCACAATAATGTACAAAATTTGAGCAATGATTAATAACCAAGTGTATTTTTTCAGTAAAACTTATCTTCAGGCCAATACTTGAAGAGTTGAGCTTTGCTAATGCTTTCAATTAAAGATTCTTATTTAACGGTTTTTCCATCAAGTGGAAATATGCACAACAGTTATTTCAAGAACAAAGGGGGTGATTTTTCCCTGTCCTTTAAAAAATCATTTGTAAAAATCCATTTCAAGTAATCCCTTAGTTGATGCTTACATAATTTTCCACTTTATGAAAACAATCTAGAAAGGCAGAAAATAATATAAAATGTTTAAAGGGTCATCATCAAAATAAACAAATGGATTTTAAATTTATTTTTATATAGCTTCTGAACTAGCTAGGTCCCCAAGCTGAAAAGCACCTAGAGATAGCTCTGACACCCTAGGTTCAAGTCTCCACGTACATAACAGCTTCAGTTCTCCAAAACACTAGGGGGATGGATTTCAGTTCCATGTCTAAAACTTTCTTTAAACTCAAAGGTAATTCAAAAGAAACTGGTATATATAATAGGGGGTAGATACATTTGAAAATTTTTGTGGGTGAGGATCATTAAACTGTGGCAAGTCACAACTCCATAAGTGCAAATAAACATTGGAAAGCCCAAAGCCAAAGCCAGTACATGAACATGCACAATCCAGGATTCAATGACCAAAGTAACCTCTTCATGGCAGAAGTCAGTGTTTCATGATGGCTGCAGATTATGTCCCCACTCTGAAGTCCCACTCTGTGATAATTCATAAATCCAAACTTAACTCCAGAATGTGTAAATCTGAAGTGTGAATTTGGAGAGACAGTACAAACAGCGGTTGAGTGGACCTGCCTGCAACAATTTTTATTTTTAACTTTTTTTCCTTTAAGGCTACAGAAGATCTGCACATAAACAAGGCAATTAATTCTCATAATAAAAATACCCCCTTACAAATAGCCAAAGTGTTCAGTCAGATTCCATGGTGAGTATATGCTGTAGTACATTCTATTCCACAGGTGTACATTCTTGTGAGTCTGCAGGGTTAGGATCCATTCTTTCTGGAAATACCAGCTTCTCAGAAACCGCCTCCTTTATTGGTAAACACTGTGATATTTCATTAGGTTCCGTGAACAGGGAAGGTGGGACATGCATTAAATTAGCAATTTTGCTCTCTCGTGATGTGTATTCTCGTAACATGTAGGTCTTGTCTGCCTCATGGTAAAGCCTCGTGTCGTTCATTCTGATAAGCACCCCATCAATCCTCAGGAAAAACCGCAACAGCAGAAAAAAGCTAGAAGGCATTACTCTAATTTTCACACTCAGGTTTGAAACACCATGATCATGAAGTTCATCCTCAAACAGGAGAACTTCTTCAAAAAATTTAATCTGTTCTCTGGCTTTCAATTTCTCTGTATCTATATGATCTGTTGTAGGTACAACCTTTAATTTAAGAGATTCTCCAAGTAACGTTCCTTTATAATCTGTCGTATAGGTCCAATCATAGGGCTTAATAACCTCTTTGGAGTGTTCGCCCTCCGTCCTGCTTTCCTGCCACTCTTCGGCACAGGCCACTTTAAGTATTCCTTGGTAGTTGTTTACACATCTTAATGCATCTGTAGCATTGAACTCGATCCCAAAGCCAGAGCAGTGCTGGATTCTTAAGACATTGTCTCCAAACATCATTTCAGGGAGAGAAGGCATGTGCAATTCATCTGCTAACCTCTCCACGTCCGCTGACTTCATGATGTGGGTCTTGGAGGCCGTCAGCTTCCAGGGCCCGAAGGAGAAGTCCTGGTGGCTGCTCTGGAAGCCGTGGATCATCATGGTGAGGCGAGTCCGCAGGCCGCACCGGACGCGCGGGAAGGCGGCAGCGGCGGCGATCACCCGCGGCGGCGGTGCCTGCGGCCCTTCACGCTCGGCTCCGAGCCGTTACCATGCCCTCCGCACCGCCCCTCCAATATGGCCATTCTCTATCACTCCAGCCATTCTAGGGGGTGCGTAGCATCATTCATCATAGATTGCCATTTGCACATCTCTGGTGACTAATGACATTCAAAATAGCAACCCAAGCTAGCCTGGATTTTATTTATTTATTTATTTACTGGGGATTGAACCCAGTACTTTACCACTCAGCTACATTTTTTTTTTTTTTTTTTTTGAGACAGGTTGTTAGAGCCTCTCCAAACTGCTGAAGCTGGGCTGGGTGTAGTGGTGCACACCCATAATCCCAACGATTGATTGTAATCTCAGTAATTTAGTGAGGCACTTAGCAACTCAGTGAGACCCGTCTCTAAATAAAATACAAAAGGGGCTGGGGATGTGGCTCAGTGGTTAAGCACTCTTGGATTCAATCCCCAGTACAAAAAATAAATAAAATAAATAAATAAAAATTGCTGAAGTGGCCTCAGTTTCCCAAGCCACTGGGATTACAGGCATGTGCCACCATACCCAGCTAGCATGGATATTTCTTGGGGAGATGATTTTATGATTTCCTTTGTACTGAAACAAAATACCATAGTGGTTAGAACAGGGGCATGGCATGTGCATAATGACATATATATAAATATAAGGTCATTAATTGCATCATCATTTGTAATAGCAAAAAATTAAAAACCTAAGTGTCCATTAAGGAGTCCTGATCAAATAGATTATAGTTTTCTATTAGTCAGGGTTCTTTAGAGAAACAGAATCATAGGATGGACCCACGTATGCATGTACATATGTGGGAAGCCACCTGTGAAGCTACTTGTGGGGTCTTTACTTGATACCGAGCCATGGGAGGGACTCAGGTCTTCCCTTGGGAACATTTCAGCTTCCCCATGTGTATCAGACTGCCCAAGGCATGGGTGAGGTCTCTGCTCCTGCTCTACTAGTGGTACAGCTCTTGTAGCTCCAGAGTTGGATGTAACCCATTAGGAACTAGACAGCCCACCCTGTATCTTATTTGGCCAAGAACATTCTATCGAAAACCTTTGATGCTCCCCCCATATGAATAAGCAAGCGTGGGCTCCCTCTCTCTCGGGAACTTGCTCCCTAAGATCTGAGAGCTGTCCTACCCCCACTTTAAAACATTACTTCCTGTGTACTGTGGTTTTTTTCTCTGTTTTCTCTTTATTAGCTTTTATTCTTCAGCCAGCCTACTCCACAAAAAAGGATCCCCCAATTCCACCACCTGCGCTGGAAGTGGGCAGGATATGTATGTATTGTAAGGAATTGTTTCATGTAATGGGGAAGGCTGGACAAGCTCAAAATCTGATTAGGAGGCCGGCAGGCTAGAGACTTAAAAAGGAGTTGCAGTTCAAGTTCAAAAGCATTCAGGCTGCTGATGTTGTATTCAAGTCTGAAGGCTGTGTGCTGCCAGAATTCTCTCTTGCTTGGGGAGTTCAACTTTCTATTCTATTCAGGCCTTCAATTATTGAATGAGGCCTATCCACATTATGTATGGAAGGCAAGCAGCTTACTCAGAGTTCACTAATTTAAATGTAAATCTCATCCAAAAACATCCCACAGAAAAATCCAGAATAGTGTTTGACCAAATACAATACCTGTGCACCCTGTGACTCAGCCAAGTTGGTACGAAATTAGCCATCGAGTGTATAAACAGAAAACTATGCAGCTATTCAAAACAGGAAAGGCAGCTCTATAAGTACTGAGATGAATTTATCTCTAAGATAATATATTACTCAATGAAAAAAAGCCAGAAATAGAACAGCACGTAAAATATGCCACCATTATAGAATTTTTTTTTTAAATAACACGTGGTTATCATGGCTGTGAGAAATTGCTATGAGGAGCCAGGTGCAGTGGTATGTGTCATTCCAGTGGCCTGGGAGGCTGAGGCAGGAAAATGGAGAATTCAAAGCGACCCTCAGCAAAAGTGAGGCGCTAAGCAACTCAGTGAGACCCTGTCTCTAAATAAAATACAAAATAGGGCTGGGGATGTGGCTTAAGTTGAGTGCCCTTGAGTTCAATACCTGGTACCTTCCTCCCCCCATCCCCCACCCAAAAAAGAAACTGCTTTGAGGAAGGAGAAGGTTGCCTCTTGACGGGGACGTATAAGAGGATAGGGAATGGAGAAGGGTTTATTTTTTGTTCCACTCTACATCCTTTCACAGTTTTAACATGTTCTGTCATGTACAGAAACAGCCTTGGCTTGACATCCCAGCTCCACACAGATATGTGCTCCAACCCTGCATGCACTGGCTACAGGCTTGGGGCAGCCATTCTGGAGCAAAGGCCGTGGCCACTGGGGCCAGGCCGAGATGGTGCCCAGAGCTGTGCTCCAGAGCTCTGTGAACATGGTCTAAGAGTGTGGCCCACCCCTGTGCTGTGGGACCTATGACTTCTTCCAGGAGCCGGGGAGCTGTGAGGAGGAGAAATGGGCTATGAGTACCAGGATGAGGTCAAGCTAGCCAAGGAGCCCCGTGGCCTCATCACATCATGCCTTTTGCTTTGCTGTCCAGTTTTGGCTACTTACTTCTTGGCCTGAGGTTGGGGAAGATGACATAGATCCCCAAGCCTTGAACCTCACCCAGCGAAACCTCTTCCTGGCTACAGACTACACCCTGCCCTGACCTTCTGGGTTTGCAGATTTGTGTAAAGAGATCTCCTTCTCCCAGGAGGCCCGCAGAGGAAATCCCTGCAATGGGAGGACAGGTGAACCTCTGCATTCCTAGCTCTTTAAGATTCTGACTGCACAGTAACGGGGCTTTGCCTCGCCTGGGGCGGGGGGATAAGCCAGCCTATGATGCAACTCTGCATCTGGTAGTAGTTAACAGAACGCTGACATCCACTGTAATTCCAAATCCCTGCAGCCTTCTGTCCCCCTTCCCAGGCTCCCAACACCCTTCCCCCCTCCTTCTCCTGACCCTCTCCCTTCCCTGCCTCCCAATCTCACCCTGCCCACTCTGCCCGCTCCTTTGAAGGCCTTTCCAAAGCAGTGAGTAGAGATCCAAGGCCAGCTCTCTCTCACTCACCCAACACAGAGCTCACTTTGAAGACTTTGGATTTGTGTTTTGTTGGAGTTTCTGGTTGGAGGGGTGGAGAGAATGTTTGCTAGATTTTTTTTTTTCTTTTCCTTTTCCTGAAACTAGCATTTCGTGGTTCAGGACCCTGCAAAGAATCAACTACTGACTCCCAATAGTCTCAAAGGGAAAAGTTCATAAAGGACTTTGTCCCACTGGCCTAGCTGTCTTTAAAAATGCAACCAGCTTTTCTTTTTTTCAGTGGAACCTAAAACTAAATTCTTATCTACTTTCTGCACTCTTTCAAGGAGGATGAGCACATTTCTGTGTAGTTTTGAGAAAAGCGCAGCTTGGATTCCACGCGATTGCGTCGTGTTATTAGACACCACATTCCAAAGCACAAATATCATCGGGGCCTCATAGAGCTTCCTGGTTATGAAACTGCCTGTGTGACTTGTATGCCTGCCCCGCTCCTGTGACAGTGTGTAAGGTCCTCCAGTTCCTGCTACTTTCTTTCTGTGTCCTGACCAAAAATCGTAGAGTGCCTTGACTGCCTCGTGACCCAGCCAACGGCAGGCTTTTCCCAGCATGCTTAAGCTCAAACTGCAGCCTTGAACTTCCCAGGCACTGATTAGGTTGTTGCCCAAAGTATTGAGAGAAGATGGCTCTGGCCCTGAGCACAGGTTCCTTAAACCCTCATCAGAACCCCGCACCCTGACCCCTCATCGCAGACATCCAGGTAGAGTGTCCCTTCCCTCCCAGTTTGATGGAGGCTAAGCTACAGCACTCTGCAAGTAAGTTCCCCTACAAATTGCATAGCTGAACCCCCTGAGTTTCAGTGCTCCTTTCCTTGGAATCCCATCTGGGTAGTTTGGGGCTTTCTCCTGTTGCCGCTTCTGGGGTCATTCCAGCTGTGGGTTCACAGAGAAATCCCCAAAATGGGCCAATCAACTCCACATCCCTTCAGAGCTTTCCCACTCAGAGCAGAAATAAGGTGCCTGCCGCTCCACTCCGCCTGATGTGGGAACAAGTGCCCCAGAATCCAACTCTGACGGAGTGGCTTTATGCCACATACTCAGTCCAGAAAAATCCTCGAGTGCCTCTGTCTTCCTCATCTCCTGTTCCATCAATATAGATTGCCTCAAAAGGTATGCCTGGAAGTGTCACCTTCTCTCTAATCCAAGCCACAACGTTCTGTCACCCCAAGTGCACAACTGCGTCCTGACTTGTCTCTCTGCTTTTGCTTGTGGTAGACAATTTCACTGGAAAGTTCTTTATTTTCCCCTTATTTGGTTCATTCTCCCTGCCCCATATCGTTTTCCAAGCAGGTTGACAGGTTGTATAAGCCCACATCCCTGGAACTATAGAGAGGCGTTAAGCGGCCATTGCAATGACTCTGCCTTTGCAGAAGCCTGAGTCAGAGATAATTCTTTGCCAGGTGCCCTGGAAGGGGTGGGAAGAGAATGTGTGCCTGGACACAGAGGCAGGGTCAGAGGTGAGATTGTCCCATACTGGAAGGCGAGAGTTCTGTGGCTTCAGAGAGCAGTGAGGAGCTCAGCCACTGCTCCAGGTAAGAGAAATCCCATCTGGGTAGTTTGGGGCTTAGAGGGATCCATGTCAGAGAGGTTGGCAGTCAGGGAGGGCAACTTCACCTGCAGCCAAGGCAGTCACTGAGGGACCACGCCAGTCTAGATCATCAGGACACCTTTTGTCACCAAACCCACTAGAGGCCCTTGCCCTAATTTCGGAATACCAAATAAGGATTCCCTTGTCATCCTGAAAGGGGAAGTGGTCTCAGTGATGACTTTTCAGGAAGAAAAGGGCTTAAGGCAGAAATAGACTAAACTCTGAGGTATTAAGTGATGCTTCCTAAGAACATAAATTTGGACCAAATTCAGTTTTGGACCTGTCATACACTTAGGGTCACCACTGGTCACCTTCAGGGTAACCTGT